GTCATGATGACTTGTCCTAAACCGTTAACTCATTTCCATAGATGATCTTTAAACATTCTCTCTAGTTAGGCCTTTTGGTAAGTGAGCTGACACATTATCCTTTGACTTTACATAGTCAATTCTGATAATTCCTCTAGAGAGTAGTTTTCTAACGGTATTATGTTTATGTCCTATATGACGATAATTTTCGTTATACATCATGCTCCATTACCTACCTATTGCATTTGACTATGGAAGTGTATGCATACTAATGCCAATGGTTAAGACAAAAAAGAATATCTATCAAGAAATTTCGGAGTCTTTAAACTTATTCACCGACCTTATCTAGAGCACCTAGCTTAAAGATTATTATAGAGCTAGCGATACATGCCTCTTTTGAAATATTTCCAAAAGACTGCTCTTGTACCAAGAGTTAATACATATCTACTGGTGGATTTTACTTTATTTGTCTGGTGATATAATTTGCATCACTATATCCTTTAAGTACTGCTGAATATTGCTATAATGCAAAACATAGTTTTAAATATTTCTTAAATACTCCAAAACTCTTTTCATTGTGATCTATGAGTTCAATTGGGAATACTTGTGAACCGACTCAGTCATTAATAACAAATTATATATCTGATCGCGCACACTTCATGACATATATCATATTTTCCAATACTCTAGACAATTCAATTATGAGTCATTTTCACTCTTTTGAAATGCAAAACTCACAATCATTGGAACTTGACAATATTGAAATTCAAATATTTGAACTAGAAAAGTACTTTTTCATTGCAATGAGACCATGAAAATGCTAAATATTATGGAGTTCTAAGGATTCTTATACCTAAGATCGCATCAATAACTCTAAAATTTTTCATTCCAAACTTGTTTTCTAGCATATGTTTAGTAGCATTTATCTCATTAGTGTCTCTATTGATGATCAACATATCACTAATATTCAAACAAACAATGACCTTGTGATTTTAACCTGAACACATTTATCACTTTCATCATTCGTAAATACATTTGTCAAAATGGTTTGGTCAAATTCCTTATATAATTGTTTGGGTGCTTGTTTTAGTCCGTACTATGACTTAACAAGTTCGCAAACTTTTTTTTATTTACCAGGAACCACAAAACCCTCGGGTTGTTTCATCTAAATTTCTTCCTCAAATTCTACATTTAATAAAGTTGTTTCACATTTATTTGATGAATTTGGAGGTCATATATCACAACTAATAATATTAGTATCTTAATGGATGTAACTCTAGTTACTAAAGAGTATATATATCGACAAAATCAGAACCTTGTTTTTGTCTAAAGCCTTTGACACAAAGTCTTGCTTTATATTTGTCAACAGTTAAATCAATTGTTATTTTTCTTCTAAAGATTCACTTTGAACCCAATGACTTTTTCTAGAATAAGATTAATTAACTTCCAATATGGTTGCTCAAGATTGCATCGATCTCACTATTCACACTATCTTTCCGAAGGATGAAAAAATGTTACAAAATCATATTTGAAGGAAATAAATGTTCTTTGACATTTAATACGCCTCCGAATCTCTTTATTAAGTAAATTATTCTTTTTCCTTTCCAAGGTCTTTTAGACCCTTGACTAGACTACTCAAATCTAACTTTACAGTCCACAATCGTAGTTCATATTTTAATATTTTTAGAAATAGAGAACTTGGACTTTGGCTAGACACCCCTACACTTTGAAATATTTCAAGTTGAATTTCCTTCCTTTCTACTTTCCATATGAAATAGATTGTGTCCTGAACAAACAAAATTTTCTTTCTTTTTGAAAAGACAGAACTTTTGGTTGTTCCCTTATGCAGTAATGATAGTTTCGTCACATAAGTTTTGTGGTAAACCAGAACTTATAATTAGTGCATCCATCATTTCTTTCAGCGGTCGATTTTTCATTAGATTGAGATGAATAGGGTAGCAGTTTGATGGATAATTTTACTTTCTAAACATATTTCTGTATAAGAAGATGTATACTCTCCATTATTATCACTTCTTTTCTTTTTTTCAACTAATTTTCAACTTTGATGTTACATTGTCAAGACATTTCTATTCCTTCATGCTTACAATTCAGCAAATAGACACAGTCATTTCTAATGCAATTGTCAATAAAAGTAACAATATACTTTTTCCAACCATGAGATGGTGTTGACTTCATATCACGAATATCAGTGTAAATCAATTCTAAGAGATTAAATTCTTTTCAACAGATTTATAAGAATGTTTAGCATACTTAGATTTCACACTGACTTGACATTTTTATTTATTGCACTCAAAGTTAGACCAAAGTTCTAAGTTGATCAGTTTTCCTTACAAGGTTTTGTAGTTTATATTCCCCAAGAACTCATGTCACAAACTTTGACTCAAGCAAATAACAACGAATAAAAATATTGAGTTTGAAAAGCTCTCCGTGAGGTAGCTTTTTTCTCACTAATATTTTGTTCCTACTTCTTACAATTTTGTGTGATACAAACATTTTTTAGAGTCAATACCTTGTCAAATTTCCTTTTCATAAGGATCTTTCCATAACTTTGAATTTGGTTGTTATAAAATTACCCATGAATAAAGTTTCATCGAGTCCAATGAAGGTGATATAGTCCAAATGCTTCTTTTACAAAATATGACAAATGACTATTCACCAATATTCATGTATATACAAATAATTATATATAATAGACTATCATTACATGAAAAAATCACCACATTTTAAGTGACACTTTTTCATAAAAGAATTCAACCATTTTGAACAAGTATACATATAATTTGGTAGTTTCATACTAGTAACATCATATTATAGTAATAGAGAAACTCAACAACCACAATACCAAATATACTCCAAGAATTTTGTGGGTCTAACATAATACAAAAATATCATTGAATTTCATATTTTTGGCTCCAAAATTAAATTACACACTAAGGCTAGTTTTATTTTTATCAGAAGCAAAGAACCACCACATTTTAAATGTGATCTCAAAAATGTTTTTTGAAGTATTTGAAAGTAGTTTTTCCACATATTTTCCCAAACTATCAAAATGTCATTCATAGTATGAAACCTCTTTTGAAAATATTATTCTACGAAAGAATTATAGAGTATCATTTCTCTTTGACAATCCTTAAATAGTGTCAAAATTCATTCCATAGAGGCACAAACATACCAATTCTAAGTCACTCGTCAATTTCTTCTATCACAGATAGACATACCATTTTGGGATTGTTTGGTTACTAGTTAGAGTTATGCAGGTATTAGATATGCAGAGTTTAGTTATGTAGGTATTAGTTATGCAGGGTTTAGTTATGCAAGTATTGGCTATGCAGGGTTTGGAGATTACAATACATGAATTATTAACTATTGAATATTAAATTTGTTGTAAATTATTATTATATATTATTTACAAAATAATAATGCGTACTAATAAAATGTGAAAGATAGTGAATAATATATAATGCTAATATTTAATTAGCATATGTACCTTAAAAAATATACAATCAATTTCTAATATTAAAAAAATATTTATATTTGCATAAATCAATCAAAACGGTAAGTATATAAAAGAAATTAAAATAATCTATATATAGTAAGAAATAAAAACAACACATTTTGATAGAAAATAATAAAGTTTTCAATTAAAAAAATTAAAAGAAATAAAAATGGTCTAAATATAAAAAAGAAATAAAAACAACAAACTTATATATAGGAAAACAATAAAGTTTCCAATTAAAAACAATAAAATAAATTAATAGGATAAATAGTAATTTATTAGTTTAATACATGTATAACTAATAGACACATAACTTATTCCACCTTCTACCCTGCATAACTTTATACATAGATTCCCTCATAAGTTATGTTGGTATTAATTATGTAGGATTACAAAAATGTAACCAAACATGGTATAAGATATGTTGATTCTACCTAAACAAAGATTTCTACCAAGCATAGCATAATTTAATACATTGTTTTATTAATGAATAAAAAGTAAGTTATACCGTAACCAAACGGCCCCTTAGTATTTAGAATACTAATAATAAAGACATACTTTTGTACAGTTTTTTCTATTTAACAATGAAGATTATAGAAAATAAAAAGTACAACATTGACTTATTATGTGAAACTTTCATATTTTTCAAAGCAATTGCAAAATCCAATTTGTTTAGTTAGAAAACTACAAAAAGTTTTTAGTCTACAACAATCAGACACAAACAAATTTACAGGAACTACAAAACTACAAAACTTTTTTTTTTTATTCTAAACAGAATAAAATATGTTTATAGATTATCACATAGAAATATTTTTTCTTTTCAAATAGTCTTCCAACTATAAAATTTTGACATACTATTTTATCAAACAAAAATATACATGTCTCATTCAGCAAACTAGTGAATTTTAAAGGCAACAATTTGCCAAGGAAAATTCATTCGAAAACCATACGATTAGTAGAACTTTTTCCAAAGACATACATGATAAATATCAAAATTGTTAACCTTTAGAAACTATTTTCCTCCTTAGATGAATAAGAAGAAGGTTGCCTGGTGTAATCTTTAACTAGAATACCACCAACTCTTCTAGTACATTCTCACTTTGACCTTGTTAAACAAAACATTGAATTCTAGAGAAGTAATGCATTTATATTCTACATTCATGATCTATTTCTCTTAATCAATAAAATACAAGAAATATCAATCGTATAATAATTTCCCTGAGATTGTTGTTTATCTTGTATTCCTATGATACTTACACTACTAAAAAATAGTGTTTAGCGACGGATCTTAGTGACAATGTATATTCCGTCACTAAGTAGCAACGGATTAGCAACGAAATAGCCATTTTGTTGCAAAAATTACTAATAATTTTTTGAGTTATAATATAGCGACGGATTTGGGATGGAATATTCTTTTGGGTCGCTATAAAATAGAGCGAAACTTTGACACCCTTATTTTCGCTACGGATTTTTGAACAAAATGGGTGTGAAAAAATTTACTAATTTGTTGCGACGAAATTTGTGACGGAATATCATTGCTAGCTTAATAAATATATTTTTATGAATTTTAAATCATACGGTGATAGAATTTTCCATCGCTAAAATTTATTCTAAATAAATAATCATTTTAGTAGCAATGGATGTCATAATCCGTCATTAAGTTTGTTACAAATATTTTTTAACTTAGTTGGAACTTTATTAACTCAGATCAAAACAAAAAGGGAAGAACAAAACATTTTCCCTAAAGTAATAGGGTTTTCTTCCTCAGGTGAACTCCCGTTTCTTCCTCAAGTGAACTTCTATATCAGATCCCGTCTTCTTCATCCTCAGTCTAGAGATGTTCTCGCGCTTCTACTGCCTCAGGTGAAAGGTAATTTCTCTTTGTTCATCTATGTCCATCTCCTCTATGTAAGACATGGTGGTGCCGTGATTCTCTTGCCGAGATTTATGGTTGTTGGGATGCATAACCCTTGAGAAACCCTTGAAAGGGGTGGAAGTGGTATTTGTAAGAGAAAATCAAATTTTTCATTTTAATAGAAATTCTTAACATTGGAGGAGATGGAGTTTTGTTTAGTCATACTTTTTACAAAATATACTTATGTTCATCTCCTCTATATAGATAAATATTTCATTTTTGGGGTGCTTTGTTATATTTGGATTAATATGATGCTTATGATATGGGTATTATTTGTACAAGTTTTAATTTTTAGGGATATTGCATTATTATCCAGGTGAAAAATTGCGGATTTTGTGCTGAATTTGTGTTTCTTGGATGAAAACTTGTTGTATCTTTGTTGATGGTGATGTTTTGATAGTATCTGCATCATCTGAGTAAATTGTATATGTGTTGTGCTGAGTTGTGGTTTGATGTGTTCTTCTTTTGGCTCTTTTTGGTTCATGAATCAATCGATAATGTCTCAACCTCAATTTTGAAATTAGTGGGTGTAAACTATGTGAATTGTTGGTAGCCGTTACAGGATTTGTCGTAGTTTAACTATAGTAAAACATTTCCAACATGATAATCAACCCACTGTAATCCTTTGCCTTTATGCAATGCTTATATATACAAAGTTGTTTTTCTGTTCATCTTATTAATTAAACAATGTAAAAGGTGTTGAAAATACTGATTTAGGTGATTTGGGGTTAAATTGTGGTTGTGATTGAATTTTTCTTTGTCTCAGCTTTTTGTCTCCGAAGAAAGACATTGTAATTCAGTGTATGTGAAGCTAAAAGAAACACATTGACATCCAGTAAGTGTTCTATTTACCCTTTTTCTTCTTCTTTCCATCATCATCCTTCTTACTGTTCACGTTTTAAGATCTCATGAAAATAATTTCTGTTGAAATTACAAAAGAAAAATGTTGCCTCAACCATCTCATATAAGAAATTAATTTCATTTGAAAGAACAAGTTTTTTAATGTTATTTATATGAGAAATATCTATAGTTTTATAATACTAGTCGTGTACTATCATTTAGCAATTAATTTTATTCTGTGCGATACTACTAGTGAGAGTCATTGTTGGGGAAAGTAGATGCTACTGCAAAGACTTAGTGAAATTCTCTCATTTAGAATGAATATTTTTTATATTTTTTGTGAGGTTTAAATTTCTTGTTAAGTTATTTGCTAGTTAAGTAGTGCTGACACACTAGATTAATGATTTAATAATCTAGTTCTCAGTTATTGTATAAGAATATTATAACTTGTACACTTTTAAAAAGTTGGTTGAGATGAGGTATATCGTTCTTTTTTCAATTAATTTATTCTATTTGGATAATTGAGGTATTATAAGGAGGCGAGACTCTTTAAATCGATGTGATCTGTCATATCAGCTTACAATTAAGGTTTACTTCTTATTCTTATTTTTATACTAAGCCTTTTTAGTATGGTTTGATAATTTTTCATCAGATTGTGTATGAGTGTAAGATAAGAGAACTTCTAATTTAGAGAGCCCATAATTTATCGTAAAAAGAAAATTATCCGAAATTTGAATGAAATGTATCTAACTGGAGTGGACTGATCGACTAGTTTTGAAGGGCTCCTGATTCACCACTCACTTCGTAAGTGTTTATGAAACTCAATACAACAACTCATTTATATATCAAGTGTTTAATTGTTACTTGTTTGTTTCATGTTCTCGATAATAACCAAGACAAGCTGATGTTATTGTTAATTGTTCTTGTTAATAACCAAGACAATCTGATGTTAAAATATTGTGATGCTTTGGATGCTTAGGAAATCTCCACATTCACTTAATGTTATAAATATGAGGTAACTGAAAGTTCCATTTGAATGAGAGGTGTTTTGTGATGCTTTGGATGCCTAGAAAATCTCCACATTCACCTTGTCCTCTCTTTGAGCTACTATCTTTTAATTATCATTGATGGACTATACAAAGAGAGTTTGTGTTCTCTTCCTTGCCACAGCGAAAACTGAAACAAATGTTATGCTTTGTGGTCATTTTACATTAGTGTTATACGTACCAACTTTGATGAAAGAATGTAAGCATCAGGTTTAGGTGCCTTATTAGAAACACATAATTTGATGGTATTCAACTTTTCAGAATCTTAAAAGGCTTCTCCTGTTCTCTAAAATTCTTTTTGTGATTGCATTCAAATATTCAGAATCTGATATAGATTTTTGAAGCTCATTCTTTGTGTAAATCTTCAAACCAAACTCAATGATACTTATTTCACTTTTTTGTATGCAGGCAAAAGTTTTTTAACTTGTTCTACAAGTTTTTTTAGTGGTATTTTTAATTTTTCGTCACACTTCAGTGAGGCAGATTACTTTGATTTATACTAGTGATTAAATGTTTGACTCTAGAAACTGTTGTTGAAATATTTTTTCGTCTACTTTAACTAGTATATTTTCTATCCATGTTCTATTTGTAACATGTTTGTTTCCTTGGTGCCTTCTATATGTAGTGAATAATTGCTGCAAGTATTGTCAGCTACGAATATTGCTTTCATCACACTGTAAAAAACATTGGACTTGCTTCTTTTTATTTCTGTGATAGTCTTTTTCTAGTCTCCTTTCATTTTCATACAACATGATATTATGTGAGTTTGCCGATATTTTTCATGCTATGTAGGTGTGTCAGTATTTTGTTTTGACATTAGATAGAAACTCCCATGCCTGTTGTGTTTGTAGTTCCACATCACTGAAAGTTTCTTTGTTTAGACATGATAATACATTTTTTTAGGAAGCCAACTACACGTTACACTGTTATATTTTTTTATAGGTGTGGCTCGAGGCAGAGGTCGTGGAAAGCCTTTTGGTAGGAGTAGCCCTGCTATTCATCTAAGCATGTCAACTATTTCGATGCGCACTATAGTTTCTCCTCAACAAGGTGTTACCCCAACAATTGAAGTATCAGCTCAAAGTACCACCCAACTATTTCCGAGACACATCTAGCTACACCAAATCAAAGTAATCCCATATTTCAGGGTCTGTCTACTCAGAGCATCCCAAGAGATTGTAGTAATCCAATTGTTGAAGAGGATCTATCTACTCAAAGCAACTCAAGAGGTCATACAAACACAATTATTGATGCTGATTCTACTAGTAGCCACTCACGAACTCTTATTTTTATAAGGTCTACGGGGTTAGTCTACTCTCTTTCTTTTATCCTATAACTTGCTTATACTTAAGTTTAGTTAATAATGGTAGTCTTAGCATCCACAAGTTCCAGTAAACAAATTATAATTTAAGATTCCGTGTTAAGCAATGCTAATTGATGGATCAGAAAATTCAGTTGCCTACTATAATCTGAGTATTCTTTTTTTTAGCACTCACATATATAATGTCTTGTTTATAATAACTCTCCAAATAATGTCTTCAAATTTACGAAGGTTGGAACCTTCTATCTTATGCTCTAGTTGCATAACCAAGTCTTTCAGAAATGATGTTGATTCCAATGGAATCAATTGAGAATCCAACCTTCTATAGTATGCTCTAGTTTCATAACCAAGTCTTTCAGAAATGATGTTGATCCCAATGAAATTAATTGAGGAAGTGTTTCAAACGATGTAAAAGATGGTTATTTTGGAGAATTCAAATAGATAAGTTTATAAAGTGTATTTGTAATAATAGATAGGATATTTATATATTACTTTCAAATTTATTTCAGAAAAAAATTCTATTGGGATGTTTCTACTAGGGAAAGTGAAGTGAAGAGACACTGGTTGGTCAAGATGACTATAAAATACATAAATTTTATTTCTATAATAAAAAAAAAGGGGGGAGGTGTTAGCCCAGGTTATGTACCTGAGTATGTTTTGAAAAAATGGACACAACTTTGGAAAGTGATGAGTATATTAAAAAGTCAGAAACAAATGCAAAAAAAAAAGGTGTGGCGACTGGAATTTGTTGTTGCGACTCACACAGGTGGCTCCATCTCAATTCGAGGACATCGCAAGAAACTTATAAGTATATATTTCACAAATTATATATGTAAGATCTTTAGGTTATATGATATCTGTACAATATTTTTGTATCTAAAAAGTGTTTTTCTTTTGTAAAAGCTATTGAAAAGGGATGAGATCCAAAATCGAGCTAGTTACATTTGCATGTCTATATGCATGGTGATGATGGCAAATCTTTTGTTGGTGAACGCTCTCGAATTGTCCATGTAAGTCCAAAACTTTGAAACATATCTGAAGATATGCATGTCATTTGTTATTAGAAAGGAAATTTGGCTTAAAATGTTGTTGAAAGTAGTATACAAAGATATTGTTGATTTATGATCTTTGGATTTATGTTCTTTTTTTCCTTGTTCTCAGGCTGTTGTTCTTTTTTCTGTTTCAGAGGTGCCTGCTTCGTTTTTTTTCTTTTCTCAGCTTCATGCTCCTTTCTCCTTTGGTATTCCTCATCTATTTTCTTGATTGTGCATCATATCTACAAGGTGTCCTTGATGCTTGCAATACATACAATAGTCCAATTCATTGCAGGATCATTGTCCGATAGTCATTCTTTAGGTGAGGTTTTGAGTACTTCCATTCTTGATGAAGTCGATAAACTGAATTCAAATTATTTTCTTGGATCAATAGAGAGCAAATAAATAAATAAATGTAACTTCGAGGGAAAAGGCACAGAACATTTGACATTGCATGAGTAACCTTCTCCACAAGTTGTTGATTATTGTCATGACCAATTTGTTGTTTGCCTTTGTTTTTTTTATCATTGTTTTCATCACCCTTATTTCTTACCTGATCATCTTCCCTGTATGTTATTATATGAGAAGTCATCTTCCTGTTGGATTCCAGAATGTCATTAATGAATATGAATGATAAAGTTGATGTGTTTGTTCTAGACCATAGTTGTACAGTGTAATTTCACCCAAAGTCTTGTGTATTTCATGTTCTGTTGTGACCTTGTAAATCAATAGTAATTGTTCTCTATTCAAAGTTGATCCTAATTCCATGGGTGTTAATTGTTTTGATGCATATTTTATTAAGCTAAAAGGTTATGTATGTTTTTATTTTTTTTTTCTTCCATTATAATTTTGTTCCTTATCTTTAATATTCTCTTTTTCGCATTTTATCATAGGATAAATATGAAGAAATATTACGGAAAAAACAACATCTCAATATGATATTTATCCATGTGAAGAATACTATAAAGTTGTCGGAGAAGAACAAAAGAAAAGAATATACAGACTTGGATTTGAAGTAAAAACTTACTACGGGTGGAATCTTTGTACCTCATCATCTGTAGCACCTTCAGTTTCTCAATCAACAACGACAAGAAATATGTATGTGTTTGTAAAGGAAATGATTATTGCCCTTACTAATAATTTTCTTCAAGTTATTATGGATCGGGTACAAAAAGTGGTTACTCCTATTGACAATCCATCACTTGTGACACCCATGGTGCCTCCTCCTACTACTAATGAGGATGTGGTTGATCCCGTAGTTTCAAGTGATGAAGGTATTCCTTAATTAGTCTCTTGTAGTTGTAATTTTTTATGTTGTCTCCCTTTTTCAAAAGTACAAATTATGCATAGCTGATGAATTGTGTTCTCTTAAGAACAATTGATAAATTGCTTTTGATATTTTGCACCATAAGTATGTGATTTGTTGCTATCTACAGATTTTGAACCTTCTAAATATTATTTATATGAAATATTTATCATTTAGAGGTATTTAGTAATATTTTAGCGACAAATTCATTGAAAATTTTGGTGGTGTCTATAAAAATATTGGCGACGCATTAGCAATGAAACATTTTAGTGACAAATATGCTGACTCAAATAGCAGAATATTTTGTGACATATTAGTGACAACATTCCCTCGCAAATTTATTAGAAATGACGAAATTAGCAACGATTTTTTTAACGGATTAGTGAAAAAAATTAAGTCGCAAATTTATTTAAAATGGCGAAATTAATTATGAAATTAGCTAGGAATTATATAAGTATAACGACGGATTAGTCTGTCACTAACAAGTAGTGATGGATATCATTCGTCTTTAATGCATCACTAAATTTGCGACGAAACTCATTTTTTGTTGCTAAACGATTACTAACAAGCAAAATAGAAACAACCAACAATCCTTCGTAAATCTGTCGCATATTCAATTTAGCAACGGATTTCATCAGTCGCTAAATACTATTTTTTTGTAGTGTTAGAACAAAACTTTGAAGTACTTGGTAAGACAACAAAGTTTAAGAACATTTTCACAACTAGAAAATTAAAACTAGTAGAGAAACTAAAATAAAAAAAATATTAGAAAAAAATATACGATATATTTTTTCTTAAAGAAGAATTGTTGTTAACCTGTATTTAAAGGCTCTTACTGATTCCAACAAACTCTGCAGAAACACAAAGTAACAAAAGTTAAATGAACCAGTGAAGAACAAAAGAGTAGAAATTAATTTACAAATTTTAAATCTGTAACACATACCAAAATTTGAAAAAATAGGAAGAAGATCAAGCCTACTGAATGCAAAGTGTCCCCTTAAGAAAATTATTCCCTATAGTATCCGTGGTTTCATTTGGAATATGCCCTCCCAGGATAGAATGATCTTAATCACCAGTGTATTAATACCCAAAATGTTGGTGTCACCGAGTCACTCAACGGTAGTAAAGTACACTAAGAATACTAGATTCAGTAGTACTAGAAGCAGTCCAGAAATTTTGAATTTAAAATGAGTGGAAATCCCTCATATGTCTTACCAAAATGGTCACAAATCTTTGGAAAAGTCATAAACTTTCTTAAAGGTCGTCACCATTCATAAAAGTCACAACTTTTCATAAAATTCGTAACTTTTCATAAGAGTCATAACTTTTCATAAAAGCCGCAACCTTTAGTAAAAGTCACAACTCTTCATTTTCGATTCATACCTTTTAGAATCCAATAAATATAACGCGAGAATACCACAAACAAGAACATAGAAGAAATAGGGAGAAGGAGAAACAACATAAGGAAAAAGATTGAGAACAAGATAAAGAAAGGAGGGGAAAAACAAGTGTAGCAACCGATTCCCATCATTACAGAAAAGCCAATGGTACGATTTTACGGTAGTATATGGATATTTCCCAATTACCTAGTCTAGATTTGGCATAAATTAGAGTTAGTGAGGTCTAGCAAATTCAATAACATATGGGAGGTCTAACTGTGAATTCGATCATATGGGAAGATAGCTTAGACATTAAGGGAAGCGTACGACTTTACAAAACTGAATTTGGGCAAGTAGAACTCTCGAATTGATCTTAAATGTGAACGGATATTCTCTGAGTGTCATGGGATGCATGTGTGTTGTGAAATGAGAGTTTGGAACTCTTAAATTAGCTCTTTGTTTTAGTGTAAGCCGCCAAGGCATGATTATTCCAACAGGTGGGGCACTATAGCGTAGCGATACAGACACGACTTAAGTAGGAAATAAATCCCAAAAATGATCTATTCTACAAGTTTCTACTTTGAGAGCTAAGGAACGGCCACAGGTGTCATCTTGAGAATTTTTCACCATTCTTGAGGCTGAATGTAAGGTTTTCACTCACTAAGTCTATTTTTCGATCCATAGAGCTTAGTTTTTTAGGTAACTATTGATGGGGAAGCTTTTGATATGGGATTTATGGTGGAAAAACCATAATATGGGTATGAGGATCAAGGATTTGGCCTAGGGTTGATGATTCTGATTGTAATATGGGTAATTAGGCTTTATTTATTCATCTTTGTGTTATATTGATTGTCTGTAGACCAAGAATAGAGTTTTTGGTAACATCCTTTTACTATATCCCAAACTTAAACTACATCCTTAAAGTATTATTTCTAGCAGAAAACATCCTTTAATTATACCCCAAACTTAAACTACTTCCTTAAAGTATCATTTTTAGCACAAAAAAAACATCCTTTAAGTATTTGTAAGTGAACAACTTTCATCCTTTTGTTAGATATTTACAAAAAACTGATGGATCTTACGAAAACATGAGCAGTTAATGTGACTACCAACAAAAGTTATTCTACATAATTTCATTACTTGCTACAAGAAGTTCTTGGAAAATATAAAAAGTCTTAGAGATTGTTGCTTATGGAAACTAAAAATGACTGGAAGGTGAGAACGCACATGATTTGCCTTTTTCGTAATGGAAAGAAGTTGGAGATTAATTATTTCGATCTTTTTCTTAACCAGTTAAATCAATAGATTTTTAGGTCAATCTAATATTGAAGTGACCAAAATATTAATTATTTTTTGTATTTGAGTTTCATTCTACATTATTAGAAGTGGAAGTCTCCAACAAATATTGTTTTTAGCATATTCAATTGAAAAGAAACATATTTAAACTAATAATATTTATAATTAAAATTAAATGAAAAATTAATGAAAAAAACGGTCAAATTAAAATTTTTGCATAATTCTTAACTCAATTACGAAAAAACTCACGGTAATATTCTTGGCATATCTAAGAATAATAATTAGGAAGGGACAACTTAATTTTTGTGGGATATATCGCGTAGTTTTAAAAGAAATTCAAGTAGAAGGATGAAAATTGTTCGTTTAAAATATTTGAAGGATGTTTTATGGTAAGAATACTTTAAGGATGTAGTTTAAGCTTGGAATATAGCGTAAGGAAGTTTTCTGAAATGATACTTAAGGGTTTAGTTTAAGTTTGGGATATAGTTAAAGTATGTTTTTGGCCAAAAACTCACCAAGAACAAGTGGAAAGTATCCGAAAAGGGAAGAATCAAGTTTCTTAGGGATTCAAGATTTGTTTGAGGTAGGTAATGGTTGTGATTTATTTTTTTGTGATATATATTTGTATTTGCTTCATTATATTTCATGTATGTATGTGAATATTGCATTATTGATCAAACTAATCGTAAATAAGTATGAACAAATAAGCATATGACATGGATAACCTCTTAATTGTATAATAGTGAGGATGTATATTGTGATTGTGATTGTGGTATGTTAAATGTCACATTTCGACAGAGTAAATGGGATATGATGTCACGTACCAATACACTAAATGAGATATGATGTCATGTACCGACACAAATATTGGAATGGGTGTCATGATCAAACACACTAACTTGAAATAGGTGACACAATCAAGTGCACCAACTATTTGGGTATGATTTATGTGGGAGGACCAATGACTTGTTATACATACACTTATTGTTAAAAATATGGAATTCTACATTGATCTTGAAATGATATTGATATTGTATATGTTCGGTCTGTGCATGCTTATGATGTTGTAATTACTTGCTTATATTGCACTTATTGGAGTAGCCGTGTGATCCTAAAATACATTGTGGTTGTGTGCTGATATTGCACTTGCTCTTTCTTTGTTAAGTTCAGGGTATCTTCAAGTGGCTACTGACAGACCTCGTTTAGAAGATCAATGATCGTCATCAAATTCAAGGGTGAGTTAGTTCTTTTGGGTTGCCTTGAGTTCTCCTTCTTGTTTAGTCCACATCTTTGTACTTAGACTAGTACTTTAGTTTTCTTATGTTGATTCGGTTGTAACCTTTTCCTTAGACTTTTGGTTGTTGTTAGAGTTTTGGTACATTGACTTTGAATTTCTAAGAAATAATTTCTGCATTATTTTGTTAGTCGTTGTTGGATCTTTTGAGAGTTTATGGGAACTCTACTTGACTCATGTATTGACACTTGCTTCCATAACTTTAAATACTTAGTGATTGATTAGCTTGTGTAGTTCTTGGATTAGCTAATTATTATTAACGATTTTCCTACAGTAGGGTTAGTATGAGTGTCAATCACGATGATATGAATCGTGAAAACAAGGAGAAAGACTAGTACAAGCGTATAATGATAATGGAAATCAACGCAAGGATATCAAATATTCAAAACTGAGCAGACAAAAAAAGGCTATCAATCATGAGGAAAATGGAAAAGCTGGAGGTAATTCATTCTCATTGCAGCTAATTTTCTACTCTCGATAAGCATTAGTACCAAGGGTCACTTCTTGGAGCCAAATAGGTTTTTGATTTATCACTATGAATTTTGGAATATATCCAGAACCCTTATTATGAATTAATAATAAATTTCAAATCCATTAAATTGGTGAATAATTGTGATATGCTACCAAATTTAGAAATCTCGTTTAACTTCTGAATTCATTTCTTTATTTTTAGATACGAATAAATAAATTTGAAATTTCATCTCTTTGAAATGCCTTGAGGGTACATTAGTCATTCAACACTTGATTCAAAATGCCTTTTTTGAATGAAAACCTTTCTAATTCTATATAAACCAAACATAATAGTAATCCATATGTATGTTTATATAAGCCGCCGACAATTCACATCAAAGGCCTCTTAGACCTACAACTTCCTACTACTTGAATTGGGTAATTAAATCTTTATCTTTAGAATTCGTTCCTTTTTACTATTTTTTATGGAGAATTTGATGTTATGTTTCTAGTAGATGAGTTTAATTGATTCAATATATGCTTTGCTTGAGTCAATGGTGTGTTAGGTAACATAATCCTCTACCTATATAAGGTAGGGGTTAAAGGTTTGCATACACATCAACCTTCTCTAGCCTCACTGGATCTGTTGTTGTTGCTCTCAGACGAGTTAAATTCTATAAG